CCCGCGCTCCCGGCGGCGGCCCGCGGAGGAGGCGGAGGAACCGCAGCTGGACGGGGGCAGCTGGAGGAGCAGCCGCACAGCTGTCCCGTGTGCGGGCGGCCGGCCAGGATGACCCGCTGACCGCGGCCATGCAGCCTTGACGGAGTGACCCGCGCTTGACCGCCGCCTCCCTAGCCCAGCGGGAAGCGACGCCGTTTACCATGGAACCCGTGACCAAGTGGACCCCCAAACAAGTCGTGGACTGGACTCGAGGTGAGCGGGCCAGAGGGGGCCCCGGCGTCCTCTCGCCTTGGGGCTGGAGGGAGCAGGGGCTGCGGAAGGGGGCGCCCAGCCCCTCCTGCGGGCCAGGCGCGGTGCGAGCGCCGCGGGGACAATGCAAACTTCTGCCGAGTGCGCCCCTGCCTCCTGTGCCTGCTCCGAGCCGCTCCTTCCGGGGCTGTGCTTTGTGACAAGCTCAGGGGAGCCCTGTCTTTAAACCAGGGAGCGGGGGTGACGCTTCTGTGGAGTTTGAGCGCCGGGGGTGCGGGGCTCGGGCCTCGGCGCTCCGGCGTGAGGGATGCCCTCCCTGTCCTCTCTCGGGGGTACCCGGCGACCTGGCTGCCAGTTCGCCAGCGCTGGGCACAAGGAGCCTTTGTGTGGGCGACTCCCGCTGGACCTCGTAAATGCGGGCCGCCCCGGCAGTCTGCAGGCGTGACGGGGTGGTTGGACAGGTAGAGGGAGACTCGGCGGCCGGCTGAGCCTGTCTGTTTTGGCTGGAGAAGGCTCCCCAAGAGCCGGCGCTGTGGCATCCGTGCCGGTGAGAATCCTCGAGAGAGTCAGGAGTCCTGGGGAGTCGTTGGTACCCCCGGTGGCGCAGCTTTTTCGGGCCACATTTAAACACTGGGGAGGAGAAATGCGTTTTAAGCCAGTTTTGAGTTGTACAGTCTTTGGCAGGAGGAAACGCCGTGGGTGAGTGGGTGATGGGCGGGTGGGCCGGGGTAGGAGTTTGTACTCCTAGCTGTCTTGCTTACTTTTCAATTTAGTGTCTCCCAAGAGTCCCAGGGAAAGTGCTAGAGGGCAACTTAGTCCTTTCTGTACTCTTCCAAGGGAACCAAGTACACCAAGACCAACGAGTGTATTTTCAGGGCCTCGCCCTCCCCACTTCAGCATCTGTCCATTTCAAGTTACTATTTTCTTCCCTTTCTGTCTGCTCGTTCAGGTGAGTACGGTGTCCCTTGTCAGTAATAATAACCACAATTGTATAGCGCTTCATTCACAGTGTGCTAAGCGCTGACTCTGTGTTCTTGCCCTGGTCACCAAGGTAGGCCTGTGAGGTAGGTACTGTTGGTGAGCGCAGGTCACCTTTCAACCTGTCTCACCCATGGCTGCAGCATAATGAAAACGGATCATCTCATTTCTCATGCCGGCGCCGGTGGCTCTGGTCGTAGACCGCTACTGGAATGGAGTGTTCCAGGCATGTGGGGTGTATCAGTGGGTATGTCTGACCATTTCCTGCTCTTCTAGGGGAAAGGAAGGAATATACCCTCCTTGAGTAGGGGGTTAACAGTAAATAGCATTGCCAGTGCCCCGTTGACGTAAAATACATCTATATCCATACCTTGGATTAAAATGAAGTCTTCCCTAGCTAGCTAGCAACTTGCTGAGGCTGATTTGGTCTTTTGTACCTGTAAGTGAGGCCACAGAAATAAAGGTTAAAAGTTAGCACCTGTTGAGCTCCAGAGCTGTTCTGTCCAGTCTGGGGGCGGATGCCCACATTAACTCTTGAGTCCTTGTAATGCAACTAGTCAGGGCTGGGGATATAGCTCAGTGGTGTAAGTGCCTGCCTGGCAAGCGTCAGGTCATGAGTTTGATCCCCGGTACTGCAAAAAAGAAAAAAAAAATGCGACTAGTCAGAATCGCAACATACTCTAAGTAGGAGATACACAGGACATCTGAAGACTTGGTGTGAAAAAAGAATGTGAAATATCTTAGTCATGATTTTTATGTTCATGACATATTGAAATTATATTTTGGTATATTTAATAAAATAACATTTGTTACCAGGACTAGCATCACCTGTGTATTTCTCCCTTCTAAGTATGGGCCCTAAAATTTATAGCTGCTCAGTGCTTACTTTGTGGCTTCCATTCTGATTGTATTGGACGGTACTGCACTGGAGTAAAGAAAGGGTTACTACGTCTTATCACTCCTTAGCTGTGCCAAGCCTCTGCTGGTCTACTTGATAATGTACAACTGGAAAGATGGTGACAGGCACACAGGAAGATTATGGAGTGAGATCTTCACACCCTCAAGATTTGTGCCTTTTTTTTCTGTTTTGGTCCCCTTAGGGATTGGGAAAGGACAAGTGTAAATTCACATCCTGTTGTATTTGTTTAACATTTAAAAGGAAGAGCAAATTAAAACATGTTTTTGGTATCTAGTTCCTTCACTGTGATGGCTTAGTTGAGATTGCTTTCATCTAGGAAAAGTTTTCTGTTGACCTGAAAAAGCAACTGTGGTCGCCTCAGTACATTTGATACTAGGTTACTTCCCTGTGGCTAGTACCTGGCAGCTTCACACAAAATGCCTGTGCCCTTTTGGACCCTTCCTTACAGCCTCTTAGAAAGACCTGGATACTTTCTGTGTGAAAATCTAAAAAAAGATAAAAGGAAGAAGTGCATGGCTAACTCTTAGATAATAAGAGGCCATATTCTTCCAGATTGTATAACACAGTATTTAAAAGTTTCTCATCATCATGACGTCCAGGTATTGACTTTTCAATAAACTATGGACTTATGCAAACTCCTTAGCTTATGGGACTATTTTTGGCTGTCTTTGCTAATCTCTGTGCCCAACCCCCATTTGAGAACTATGTCCCCATGATAAACAGCTCTTTATGCAGATTTTGCCACTGTTAGTATTGCTTGACTATGCATATGATAATTATGAGCTCAAGATTTAAAATGATCTGTAGGAAGCCTGAGGTTAAAAATTAACTGAACCTGACCACGTCTGTAGCCTGAGCTCATGCTGGTGTTATGAGACAGACTCCTGCCTTAGAAAAGTTGCTGTGTGCAGGATATATTAATTTCTCTGGCTCTTGTTATTAATCTTTAGCTACACTATCACCAGTTTTACCATAATATTAATAGATGTAAGTATTTTCAGTATATCAGGCAGAGGCCCGAGCATTGTGTAAATAACCACCCTTTGAGGTAGGAAATGTTATTTACATTTTGCAGTTGAGTAAACTGAGGCACAGGTTAAGTACCTCGGCCATTGTCACCCAGCTGGCAAGTAGCAGAGCAGCATTTGACCCCAAGTGGTTAGGTTTCACTTCCCGCCCTCTTCTCAGGCCACGCCTAGACCGCACTGAGAATCTTCACACTTACAAATGGACCTCCTGGATTTGATCTTTAGTGGAAGCCATCCCTATGTATATCTTCTTCATCATGTTCTGTGTGTGCCACAAAATTATTTATAATCAAATTAATTCATAGTTCGTGGCAGTTAGCCAGATAACTCAGTAAAAGCTTTGTAAAACAAATGATCTTCTACAACATGTAGACTCAGTCACACATAATAGAAAACCCTTTGGATTAACCAAATGGTAGTTTTAGTTTTCTTTTGTAAGGGAAGCAGAACTGTCATTCCTAGCATGTGACAGAACATGTGACGTTCATCCTGTCGGCCTGGATATGGAATGGCTGCTCTTCCCGAGTGTTGCATTTCTGTTCCAGGTAGGAGAAAGGAGACTGTGGAGGACAGAAGAGTGGTGACAGTCAAGCCTTCTCCTTTAATTAGTGCTGTGAGAAGCTCCATCAGGTGAAGTGGCCTCCACCTTCGCTGTCAGAAGTGGCCACTTCATGCTGTAAGGGAAGCTGGTCGTTGTCTTTTTTTTTTCAGTTGGGTATGTTGTGGCCTTGATAAAAACTGGAGTTTGGTGAGTAAGGAGGAAGGGGAGAATAGACATTGGTATGTAGTAGGTAGGCTCTCCTGTACAGGAATTTACATGTATTAACTTTCGTGGATCGGCCCTCAAAGCAGGATGCATGCCACAAGTTCCTTCTTAGAGTGCTCAAAAGCCAGCTCTGTTTTAGAAATACAGTGCTATACCTTTATTCCAGTTTTGTCAGGTCAAAACCTTAACTTTTCCAAGGTTTGTGCCTCTGAACTTGATTGAAGTAGCAGGAGTTTTGTAATCTGGCTACTGTGGGTAGCCAGTAACCTGGCTTCTGCTCACAGGCCGCTGGGGAGTGTGCTCTCCAAGCAGGAAGGGGAGCTGCTTTGTCCCAGCAGCTCCGCTTACCACTGGCCTTGATCAGCTCTGTCTCTGTGTTGCTGAGTAAGCACATCTGTAAAACCCAGCTTTCGTCCCAGAGCAGAAGTGTCTGGCCAGCTTCTGACCTTCCCCACTTACAGCCAGAAGTAAGGACACTGTTTTTCTTCAAAGGCGGAACCTGTTGGATTCAAGGCGTTCGACCCCCCTCCTAACTGGCCGTGAGCATTGCTCTTGCCCTGTAACGGTGGCCAGTACATGGCCTATTGGCAGTCCTAACGTACCTCACTGTGTGCTCATGGAGGGGCTGGGTTTCTGTGTTAACTGTAGAGATCCTATACACTGTGGGTCAACTACAGTGTACTACCCTCCACTATAGCTTAGCTATATTTCTGTTGCTGGGAGATATACCTGATAGCCACAAGTTAGATAAGGAAGATTTACAGTGTTTTAGCTTACAGTGTATAGAAGGTTCAGTCCATAGCTGGCTGGCTCCAATGAAGGGTGGCATGGCAGAACTGCAGGCAAGAAGCAGCGAACCTTCTCTTTCTTTTTTGTTTTATTTTACCCAAGCTATACGCCTGTTGGTTGGTGCCATCCACATCCAGAGTGAAGTCAGTAAATCCATCCCTCACACCCAGAACTATGCTGTATCACTCGGTGCACTAATCCAGTATCATACACTCATGACCCAGTCAGTCCGCAAAGCCCCAGCTATGAGCACATGAGGTTTGAGGGGTCATCTAGACACAAACCATAACACACTATGAAGCTCTCTGCGCCCCTGTTCTACAGGGCCAGTTTTCATCATCCTGATCGCAATTTCAGGGATACCCTTTTCTTTTAAGCTTCTGTGATCACAATAAAGAGAAGGTCCTTTTCTTTTAGCTCTTATAGCTCTACCAGTTGGCCACAGATTAAAAAAAACTCCATATTTCACTCTATTCCCAATTCTACTGTATCTCCTGAACTTTAGCTATAAAGTTTTTTCATC